TTAACACATTGCAGGACCGCCGTTATACGAGGATATCCGTACCTTTTTTATGTTTTGAGAAAACAGATCATCATTTATCTGTAAAACAATTTTATCTGTGATGATACTGAATGTTTCATGGCTCTAAAAATGAGAGCAAACCCTCCGCAGCAGTGAAAAATAAAAAGTAAATTAGTTTAAACTATGATCTCTTGCTTGAAATCGTGGCGCCACCAGTGGCATTAGCGCTATGTGTTAGGGACCTTGACTGTAGCTCACAGGGTGTTCGAGCGATGTCTTTTGAGGTCTAATCGGTCTACACCGATTGAACCTCATGAGTACAATATGGAGCCAGACTCCGCAGCGCAGACCTACGCACAATGTCCCGTCTCCGAGACCCTGTGGAGCACATGACAAACGCCAAGCTACAATGAGCTCCCGTAGGATTTTCGCGATTCAAAGGGAGACCTGCGGTCCTGTTTACATTGAGGATAGTTCTTATGCGACTACCGCTACGGTCCCGCCCGTTCCGCTTAGTGTCTTCTTCATTTTGTAGAGTTTTATACCCTGCCCATTTTCCCGGACCTGACTCCTTTCCATCGCATCCCCTAAAGGGACAGGACTTGGATATTCCTGTGCGCCATCAGATCAGCCACTTTTGGAAATCCAGTTAACGATCCTACATTTGAAGTCCCAGTTCGGACTACCTTCTTGGCCGAGGCCGTTCACTTCGCGGTTCTGAGGAGGTCCTGTGTGCCATTTCTAGGTGATGTCCTAGCTCACAGATACATTTTGCGATTTTAGACATGTTGTGGAACCGGAGTCTTCATCAACCCCCCCCCCCCCTGTTAACCTGGGTCTGACGCTGGTAGATCCATCCTTGCAATTCCTGCAGAGCGTGAACCTCGGCAGGGATCAAACGCGCTGCTTTCGGTGTACTCGACTTGGGTGTAGGGTGGGCCAAAATTATGGTCACTGCGTGTGCGTAGCTCACTTCTTCCCTAATCTTTTTAGTTTTCTCTTCCTTTTTGGGCATAATGTGATAGAGCAACAACGCATTCTCATTGAGGGGGGGGGCGGGGGGTGACTAAATATTCATAGAGCTCTCATATTAGTGAAACAATAACATCACGGTATGCCAATTCTCAGAACCGACAAAGGGCTATGGCACGCTGTCTGTTTAAAGCAACAAAGAAGCTCTTATGGGTAATGGTTGAAAGCTGCAAGACGTTAGGAACAAAGAAAAGTAGAAGAGGAGATTCGGTCGGCTACAGTTATCACCAGGACAAATATCAGACGCAAAAACTCTTATTTCTCGCTTGGCTACTTGCCAATTGGAAGATTGAGATGAAAGGCTACTTGGACACCCTTGAGTTCTAATGTCTGTCATGGACAAGGAGCCATTTGAGTGCATAACTTTGGACGTCTCAGTCGGACAAGGCACCTAGTCATGAGGCAGAGATCCTGCAAAGAAAGATTCTTTCGTCTTGATCGTCTGCTAACAACTGTTACCTAGAAATCCCTCACTGGAATCCAGCTGGATTTTCTACATGGCAAGCCTGAGACATGAACAAAAGAGGCCTGGGTTCCTGAAGAGATTACAATGAAAAAAATTGAAATCATTTTGACGCGTCTTACCTACGTTCTCGGAGCACGCCTCCCCTTCATCTGAAGGCCTGAAGGCCTACTACAATAGTGAACAGAATTCAAAACCAACCTAGCTTTGCCTTGCGATATTGATCTCCAACCCTTTTTTTATGTAGATTTGTTTCATTAGGTTGATATTCGATTCTGGTGATTATAGTGTCTTGGTTACCATAATTTTGCCCCCCCCCCCCTTCTCCCTGTACACTCTTAACCACTCGGCTATCCCTGCCTATTGAACAGCCAAAATACTTTCTCGATATTATACTTGGATTATATGGTACAACTAGAGGTTTTGCTTTCTCTAGCGTATGTCACATATCTTATTCGTTATATTTTTAGCACGCCGTGGTGACGGTGCTCGATGAAGAGCCGCGTCTTGATCGCAATCGTGTTGTGCTATACGGGGCATCTCATGGTGGATTCTTGGTGTCGCATCTCATAGGACAATATCCAGTTAGTTATTCTTAATATGATGTACTATTTGTTACCACGAGCGGCGTGGGAAATCTCTACTTGACGAAAAACATGTTGGTCCGAAAATAGCGCCAGTTGGACTGCCGTGCTTTACACGATGTTTCACCGTGTTCGTTCCTTTTTTCATGTAAGTGCGTTGTGTGCGGTCATATAAGTGGGCAAAGTTTTGGGCAAAAGAGTGCGCTTCCGAAGAGAAATAGATTGGCCTGATTGGTGGAGGCATCCAGGGCGGAGCTAGAAGGGGCTCATGAAACGAGGCGTTTCGCGAATTCGATCATGTATAGAGTTTTGTGAAAATTTGACGTAAACTCGTTCACGTTCACGCCAGAGTCAACCCTGCGTTGCGCAGTTCGCAACGGCACGTTGAGAGATCCTCAACGCACGCTGTATGGGCGGAGACACAGACGGCTCGAGCATGCGAGTGTGAATGTTCGCGCGAGAGAACGTGTCTAATCGGGCGAAACTGCGCAACGCACGGTTGACTCTGGTTCACGCCTTCGACTGTAAATTCGACTTCACCGTTCTTATCGTTAGATTGGTAGTGGTTGTTACGAGAACACACCCTCCTCATCCAGAACGATTGTGTTCATCACTCGTTCCCTGTACCATTTGGAGCATCTATTGATAGTGCTCGGGTATACACCAAAACGATGATAATTGTCGCGTGCCAAAAACCCTCAACGTCGAAGTCCAATGATTTAGGGACGGTGTCAGTATCAGTCAACCGCTGCAGCTACCATAGATTTTGGTGGTTGAACAAGGTAAGCATAAACAATTCTACACCACAGTACCAAAACTAGGACAGAAGAAAACAGCATCTGTGAATATCAGTTCAAATTGTTTGCTCATGCGCTTGTCGCTATAATTTTGGCGAACCCTGTAATAAGCTGCAGTCGATCATTTAACATACTCGGTTATGTTTTTAGATGCAGTCGACCCTTTGATGTGAAAAGTGCATTGAAATTGACGAAGCTGTGTTTAGGTGTAAAGAGGTACTTTCTTTGGAGTTTTTAAGTGTAGGAGATGAAGGGGTATTTACCTAGTTGAGAGTCAAGCGGACCCCCCATGGGTGCGGACGAACACGGAACTCGCATTGGATCAAATGCCCTCGGCGATCTAACGGCGCTGTTGGATTGGAACGCCCACCGGCTACCTAATCACTCGCCGCAGAACTATGGCGAGTGATTAGATAGCAAAGAGCTTAGTGTTTGAGAGGGCTCAGTGCGCAAATCAACGGGCAAGGAAGGGGTCCCATTTCTCGGTTTTCGGGCCGTTATGGTTTCTTCTTCGTCGCTGCTCCACTGACTACCTCTACCCTTATTTCCAATGAGCTAACTTTTCATCGTAAATTCTGCCTTTGAAGAAGTGAGCTAGGGAGCATAGCTGGTAGTACTGAATTGTTTTGAACTGTATGCCAGAACGAGGTTTTTAAGATGGAATCTTTATTCACTGGCCTGACGTTTCGACCGCTTCGTCTTCTTCAGAGGCCTGGAGATCGTCGATGATTCCACCTATGCGGAGCAGTAGCTTACGCCCTGTGTTAGTTGACGTCAGTAAAGCGAAAGCTTGGTATGTTGCAGGAAGACCGAGGTTAAGAAGTGAAGCAGAGAAACTTTCCGCTTGAGAGTCTCTGAGTTCAGCACAGCGAACGATTTTTGTTGTTTTTGTCAAGTCTACGCACCTCGCTGTGGGTCGAGGTGACATAAAATTTCTTTTTTCTTCGATGACAGAGTTTCACGCTGTTTTTTGGAAGATGAGTGCATCATTCGCTATTCGAACAAAACACCGATGGGATACTGTACATATTGCTACTGATGTCGCTGTAGAAAAATCGTTATTTTTTGCTTCTATCGAACTTTCAGGGCTTTTACAAGTCTTGCGTCGCACACAATCCAGTGCTCAATATGGTTGCCATGCACGAAATCACAGACATCCCGGAATGGTGAGTTTAAATTTCAATTGTTTCGAAAAATCGCCAAAATCCGAACTTAATAATATTAAAAATGGTTTTTCCATCATTTTCTGCCAGCGTTGGGACTGTATTTTGATTCGCTGTCACCACAACGATGGTGAGTTGTGGACGAATATTGTCCTAGCTGGGTCTCAAAACTGGAGCTTTCTGGGCAGCTGTGCTGATACACGCGTACGCAGTGGACGAATGACGCCGCTATTGCTTACGAGGAGTGTTTGTTTTGTGCTAGCCACCTGTAGAAGCACTGGTAGCTGTACTGTAGAGTAGAAGGGAAAGGTAAATCGCTAATCACTGGAATTTCTTTCCAGTTTCGGCCTTGCAATTGATTCTTTAAAGCGAGGGATTACGATAAGTTTGGACTGGGTTCATAGTGGAAGTGGAGATGCTGAATAATGCCCCAGTGGCGAAAAAAGCAAAGAAATCCGTCAAGAAGGCGCAAAATGGGACCCCTTTCTTTGCCCGTTGACCTCCGATAATGGACGAGCTAGCAACCAATTAGGAGGTCGTTTGCACATGTTATGCTGATAGCCTCTATCATTTCAGCAAGCATCATGCTTTGATTGATCACGCATCCCATGAAAAGTTATAGGATACACTCTGGAAGTGGAATATCTCGTCACATTGGCAATCGAAGGGCGCTGCTGCTGGGGGCGGAGCACAGACCGTGGCGGGGCTCAGAAAGGAATGGCAAGCCTTGTACGCTGCAACTAGCGCACCTTTGACCACAAAAACGCAACATTTCGTTTCCTTGGGCCCCTGACTACTGCTTCCAATGGTGCATGTATTAGGTGTTTCAGAAAGTTCTGTCGTTTTCTGACATTCCACTTTTGGATGCTTTATTTCCCTTGAAATCTAGGAAAGCTGCAATTGATGTTGATGTCATTTTGAAGAACTTTTCCAGCTCTATCCAATGCTCAGCACAAACTTTATCCTAAAATATTTTCTTATAGCTTTTTCAAAGCTTTGAATTCAGTATACTCGAGGAGCAAGCTGGCATGACTTTCTTTTTCTAGCTTTAAATAGACCTGAAAGTGGCGGGATCAGTTCAAGATATCAACGATGCTTTGGGCCTAGATTTGCAATAAATGTGCTCAGAAGCAGTAGTTAAAAAATTTATTGTAAGGAAGGCGAGAGCCTTGAATATGATGAGAGTAGTGGTCGGACATCGGACGGTGTCTCCGATTAGCCAAAAGTTCTGATTGAAGCACTTGTGCGTAAGACCATAGAGGAGGTTCTGCCCAACGTGGGCGTATATGGTTTGTACAGCCAAGCTATACGGAAGAAGCTGGAAAGTCTAAAAAATTCGATAGTGGCGTGCCGCGACAAATCACCAATTTGAAGCATCGTCCATCAAATTGTCGCTGGTTTTATGTGGTGAAAGCGACTCGTTTCTCTACAGATTTGCGACGTACAATAAAGAGCGGATTCTTCTCTATAGTCTACGAAAGTTTGCTGAATAGATCGACGGCGATGAAGCTCTACAAACTTTGCAGAATTTAAACTGTGCTGGAGGAGGGTTGTGGCAGCTTTCATGGGGCCAGCGGCTGGCCATGTTCTTCAGTATCAGATGGAACTGTTACAGTGGAGAATCAATCTTATATACACTGGTGTGCAAAACTTAAGGACCAGATAGATAAATTGTCCTAACTTATTAACAATTAGATGGAATTGGATGAAACTGTACGGGCATAATGCTAGAAGCCCTACAGTCATGGGCACCGAAGTGGGCCTCATATGTCTTGCATCCGGCTTCAATCTGGAGCCTAAATGGGGTGGCCACCCAGAACGATGGGTATCGTGGGGCAGGACAAGAGGGGTAAACTAAGCAGGGAGAAGTGACTGTGGAATGTAGTGGTGTTCTTGATTACATCAAGTCTCAGAGACAACACTAGGGTGACTTTACGCGAGGAAGAATCATTGGGAAACTGAAAAAAGGAAGTTGTGTCCAGGAGTTTTGTGTCAACCACAGCATTGTTTTTTGTGCATGAGAAGCAATGTGGACCGCAGCCACTGCTGTCCAAGAAGAGGAGGTTGTGGGTCACGAACAACCGCAGCAGCAGGTGATTGCTAGGTTTTGCTACAGGCAAAAATGGACCCACGTCAGTCACATGCTGCAGTTGCAAAAACATTTATCAGGATTGTAAGGCATGTAATCCCAGTCCGGACAGTGGCGCAGTGACCGCCTAGGAGTGATCTCTCTCATCGATCAACAATACCTGTATTCATTTGAAATCCACGCCTCGGCTGGGACATTTGGTACGAGCCGAGACATTGGAGATGGACCACCGAATTGAAAAATCGCGTATTCTTCCCGGTCAAGAGCAAACTGAATGTGAGTAGTGATTCTGGACTTACCTGCATATGGGGAAAATAGGAACGTGTAATCTACCCAGGACCATCGTTTAACATGATTGTTTTGGTAGTGCCATGCGACATGATGTGGGGAGGCATAAAGTTGTCGGGGCGTACTGATCCCCAACTCGTGATCGCGTTACACTTTCTGATCAACGTGATTGTGGTGTGTACCCTTCTGTCATATGCATCTTTCCAAGGGTTCCCTTGCCCTCAGCTTCAATCGTATGGAGGGCAGTGTGCGAGAGTATCGAGCAGCCTGGGTGGAAAACTCTTGAAAAGTGAGGATTTTCGGTAATTGGTGAAGCCATTTATTTCCTCCAGTCTAATTCTATGGAGCACGTGTGGCGTGGATTCAGATGAGCTATTGTAGCACATGACCATGTGCCAACAATAGTCCTGCAGTTGTCAATCGCGGTCTCCAAGGAATCGGTCACTTCTCCTCAAGAACTCTTAACTAATCTTACGGCCTGTATGGGAACACGTAGCAGAGCATACCTTGCAGTCCGTAGTGTTCATACACCCCATCAAGAACTAGCTCCTCTCTTTTGAGTGTCTACCATGAGTTGGAGAAGCCTCACCTATCGACCGCTTCAGACAGGGTATTTGCAGAAAAATGTCTTTTCCAATCGCCCCTTTGCGCTTTTCTGTTAGTAACTCTCTGCACTGTACCGCAACATTTACTTCTATATATGTGCCAAATTTGGTCCACCTAGGTTAACTAGCAGTGAGATATCATGTGAAAGTTACTTCGGTCCTTAAGTTTTGCACACCAGTGTATATTAAAAAACCAAAATATGAACATTGGGTCACAGCATTCCTGCATTTATCAAGGAACAACACCACACTCCCTGAAAGTGTCGTGAACCGCACATCCGCACGGCCAACCCTTCCAAGTTGTTTTTACCAGCTGATTCAGAGTGATTCTGCGAACATCTTACTTAGTAGACCCTTGAACTATCTACTGTCAAACTTCTGACGATCTCGATAGCTTCCTTGAAGAGAAATACATCAAAAACCAACATGATGCTAAAACGACCTTCCCTCAGTTCATCGCCTCCAGAGGTCCAGCATTCCAAATAAACGTACCCTGTTGAACGGTTTCTTATAGAACAAGATTCGCGCTTTCAAATGGTTTTTTAATCAACTCGAAAGGTTTAGCCCAAGCCGAGATACGTGCATTTAAAATTAGGGCTGGAAACGAACAGACTTTCTGAAAACCTAATACTTCCACGACTGCGATGACGCACTTTTCGTAAATTCTCGCTGTTAATTAATGCCTGAACTTGGTTCAAAAAATAATCTCCAGACTAGATACGTACCAAAATTCGCTGAAAGTGAATCCGATCACACGGACAACCGAGATCAACGTTCGTTTTAAGGAGACACGAGCTTCTTAGATTTCAAAAGCTCGGTTTCTGAGAATCCTCTCGCGATCCCGTGCAGCGGTGATTTCGCATTCATTGTCGGGAAGGTCTCGTGAAGGGATCATCTTACATACAAAAAATACGATTCGAGGAAAAAGCTGGACCTTACTGTCTTTTTCTGCTTAAAGCTGCCGACCTCCTGGAACATGGCATCGACCTTCCGGTGAACGTTAGCGACACGTCACTGATAGTGGGGCTCGAAATGTTGATGGTGGATATTGCTTTTTGTTACAATGTTAACTCAAAAAAATGTTTCAAAGTGACACGAATTTGAAACACCCAAATATAAAATATAGTAGTTGTCCGTAGTGAAGCGTTCAGACAGTGCATATCTGCTGAATTCCCGCAGATATCGCGGTTTTTGATATTTTTGTTTTGTTATTTAATGTATTGATATGGCTTCTTTTAAGGACGTTGATTGAGGGGACAGGAAAGATAGGTGACTGGACGAAAGTGCTGTCCGAAGAGCAGCAGAAAATGATGTTCAATAATTCACCAATCGCTCATGTTGACAAGGTCTGTTATTTTTCATGTTCTCCTTGATTTATATTATTCTTCTTCGCAGAGATGATTGTTGAGTACAGCGAATATGAACTTGATTTCAGGTTATAACTCCATACCTTCTACTGATTGGTGAGAAGGATCTGCGAGTACCTCCTCATTATCGCGCCTTCATCCGTAATCTCTTAGCTCGAGGGATCCCGTGCAAGTACGTAGATCTATGTATAATCTTGCTGTAATCACTAACAGGTGTGTAGTTACGTTTGTGCCATCGATGCGTTGCTCCTTGAGCAACATTGGCACATGAGGTGACTCAGGTTTAGCCACGACACAAATGACCCAAGTGCACATCCAATTTCACTGGATTAGGATTCGCTACACCTCAACCACTCCCTTTAATTTTGATAAAAATGATACGGAATAACAGTGAGGGTTGTCCCCATTTTCATCATCGACTCCATTTAAATTCTGTAGGAGAACAGCATAAGAGATCGAGCTAGTGTCCGAGTATCCGTAGGAAAAGAAGTTTTAGAGATCATGCAAGAACGGCTGGTCCCCCTGATGAGTGCTAGTGGCATGTTGCGACTTTTTGCCTTAAAATATA